TGCGTTTTATTAGACAGGTGACGACCGCACAGAGTAGCATTATAACAGAACTAAATGTATCTAGTATGATAAAACAGCCCTGCTTTAACCCATATACGCACGGCCGGAAGGAGCGGAAGCAGTCGACTGTGGCATAATAAAAGCTCCGCTGCTTTCGAGCCGTGTGTCACGCTCGTTCAGCGGCCTCGTTTCACTTCGACGGCTTTCAGCCTCACCCTGCTTCATTCTACTACGTTAATAAATCATTAGCTCATCCATGAACATGATTTCTGCCCGAGTCCCGTCGGATTGCATCGGCTGTGGGGATGAAGACCACAACTCCCATGATTCCACACTCAGTCACCTCCTCATCAAACTTCGCCTTTGCCTCTTTGTTTATTTTGAATACGCGCCCTCTAGCGGCGAAAATGACATATTGTGCCTTTAATGTGAGTTACATCAGTCTTTATGCAAAGTTTGTTTGTTTATAACAGTGCAGTGAAGTGTGATTCTTGCTCTGGTTAATTAAATATCTCTGCTGGCACATGAATACAGAGTGAATGTCTGTGTATGTTTGGTCACCTAACCCAGTGTGACAGTAAATGTCCATATTGCCTTTTCTGTGTGTGTGTATATATATATATATATATATATATATATATATGCCACACACAAAAGGTTCCATAGCCTATTTTTGTCTCTGTTTCTAACACAGCCAGAGAACCTGCTGTACTACAGTATGGATGAAGACTCCAAAATCATGATCAGTGATTTTGGCCTGTCAAAGATTGAGGGTTCAGGTAGTGTGATGAGCACAGCGTGTGGCACTCCTGGATATGTAGGTAAGACACACCTCCATATGCAAAAGTATGGTATGTATCTGGATGAAACCTCAGCCTTTAAGATTTGAACACCGTTGAACTAAATTGAGGAGGGTAATATACATAACCCAACTAAGAATATCAGTGAAGTGTTTTGTCTAGATATGTAGTTCAAATCCAGGTGTAAACTCAATCTAACATCAGTATTTTCTTATTTTATAACATTCTTCAGGTTTACCTATGAGCACTCATGTCTTTTCCTTATCTCTTGGAAGTTTTCATGTGTAGCACTGGCCATAGCTTTAGAAATGACTGGTTCAAACTGGTTTCCTTGGGCACCCAATTCTAAAGAATATCCTGTATGTGTGTCAGGGAAAATATAGAATTTATTAGTATAGTTATTTATATAGAAGAAGAGAGGAAAACTGAAACTTGGGTATGAGTATTTTTGCCACTTGCACATGGATGAATGAAAGCAGAAGAGCAAGCAACAACATATAAAAAAATGTATCTAGAACCAGTATTATCACCTTAACTACTCCCAGTTTTTACACAACATTAGAATTTACATAGTTGTTACGAAAGGGATAACCCCTGAAAATTAGAAGTTATTTATTTTTGCCAGACTTTGGTCAGATTTTGTCAGAGGCCTTTGGATTTGGATTTCAGGCCAAAACTAAAGTGCTAAAGAAAAATGACATCCACCAAACACAGGACCTCTTTAATTTGTAGTGAGATAATTTGCCTCAGATCAAGCTGCATATGAATCAATGATATTTTCCTCTTTAATATTTGCAGCACGAACTAAACATGAATATTTGAATGCACGTTGAAATAAATCAGAACAATTTAATACAAACGAATGTCTCATGAATCAATCAATCAGAGTTTTAAAAAAAGTAAAAAGAATGACGGATGCCACAGACTTTGTTTTTTTTTTGGAGGAGTAGGCCTATAGGTGGAATTTTCACATTAACTTCACGCAATATAAACATGAATAAATATTTGAATGCATGTTAAAATCAGAACAATTTAATACAAACGAATGTCTCATGAATCAATCAATCAGAGTTTTAAAAAAAGTAAAAAGAATGACGGATGCCACAGACTTTGTTTTTTTTTTGGAGGAGTAGGCCTATAGGTGGAATTTTCACATTAATTTCACGCAATATAACATGATTTTATTATTGTAATTTTGACTTTATTCTTAAAATATTATGACGTTAATCTTATTTATTTAGTTATTTTTAAACGTGGCACAAAAATGCTGCCGTGCAGGCTACTGAATGCAAACACAATTTTGGCACAGCGGCCCAAAAAACAAACAAAAAAATTAATAAAAAAACAAAAAAAAAGTAAAAAAGAGTGAGGGGATATTTGAATTATTTTTTAATAAACTAATGTTTTCTGAGTCAATGTTGCAAAAATGAATGAACCTGACTAGCCATCTCCTCATTAGACGTGCCTTTAGAGAGAAATGCACGGATTACATAATGAAACAGTTTTTGTTTTCGATTTGAATTATTTAGTTTTAAAATAGTAATTTAAAGCATTCTATAGATATATTTATCATGTCGGTGAAGCGCTCCTGCTCAAGACCAAGACGACAGAAAGCGCATCCTGTTTGTTTTCCTTATTTTACAAAAGCACAAGGTTTTTTTGATATTGTGAGTGCACACAAATACAAGTAAACCATTTGCAGTTGATGTATACTCTTACCTTTATGAGCAAAAATGACGGCGTATTTTTAAGTTTCCACTGTTATAAAAAAAATTAAAAAATTAAAAAAATGCAAGTCCTCCATGTCCTGCAAAGCACGCTTTAGCTTCCACTCTCCGCACAAACAAACATAATGCTCAACTCACTGTCTGCCGCTGCCGCTTGGTCGTTCCTTTAAAAAACAAAAACTTGAATTTAACAAACATAAAATGTTCCAGACATATTTCTAAATTAACTTAAATAAACAAAAAGAAATATGACCACTTTACCATTAAAAACCAAAACTGAACTATTTTAATAGCTGTGTAATGGGGAAGAGAGAGAAAAAAAAAGTCACGGTATCCAGTCGGACTTGGGCCGAGAATTCTCATAAGCTGTTGGACAAGGGCCGGGCCCATGCAGGGCTCTATTCGTTCCCTCGTTTCAATTAAAACTTCCCCCCAGCTCGTCGGGCCCCCACACTGCCCGAGCCCATATGCACCTGCATACCCTGCATGCCCAGACGCTACGCCACTGTCCTCTTTATTATGATCTCAAAATTATTAAAATGTTGCATATTCTGCACGGGATATTAAACTTATGAGCAGAACTGTGAGAGTGCAGAGTTGGAGATTCACCATTTGCTGTTTACATTAATTGCCTGTTACAATTTACATGAATATTTAAATTAAATAAATGACATTCAAAGTAATCACTTTGATAACCTAAAATACTTTTTGGATGTAACTGTAATGAAAATACAGTTACTCATATTTAGTATTTTAAATACGTAAATAATTTACATGTGTTCCGTTACTCCCCACCCCTGTCAACATTGCAGTCGATTAAATGGTTTTAAAGGCGGTACCTCATTTGCTCCAGTGGTAGGAAAATCCTTACTTACATATGTGTTCCTGTGGCTCACTGGTAGAGCATTGCGTTAGCAGCGCAAAAGGTCACGGGTTCAATTCCCAGGGAACAAACATACTGGTAGAAAATGTATAGCCTGAATGCTCTGTAAGTTGCTTTGCATCTGCTAAATGCATAAATTAAATTAATTAATTAGATTAAAATTTATTAAAATATGGGAATTTGCATGTGGGTCGAGGGGCATGCTTAATCACACTACTTTTATATAATTAATTAACCTCAAAATGTTCAGGTTAAATTGTCATTTGTAAAGTTTTTGGTTAGGGTTGTTTAGTCTACCTACTTACTAGAAAGGGCTGCAGTGATAAATTAAATTGATGTTTGATCCCATTTATTCTGATCTTCAGCTCCTGAGGTTCTGGCACAGAAGCCGTACAGTAAAGCAGTGGACTGCTGGTCAATCGGGGTCATCGCGTACATTCTGTGAGTTTGACTATTACTGCTGCTTATACATGTGTACTTACATCTTTTCCCTTCTAATGTTTTACCTGAACTGAATTCATTCTCAAGAATTCAACCGGACTTCTGTTTGTCTCCTCTCAGTTTATGTGGCTATCCACCATTTTACGATGAGAACGATGCCAAGCTCTTTGAGCAGATCCTGAAGGCAGAGTATGAGTTTGATTCACCGTACTGGGATGATATCTCTGACTCAGGTATAACACAACGTTTCCCTGAATTGTCATACGTTTAGTGAGGTTAAAACTTGTGTTTTCATTCTTTCTTTTACCAAACCCTACTGGTTGTCAAATATATCTGGAGTCAATGAAAATATTACTTTTATGGAAACAGTTATGTCATGTTCTGAACTTTCACACTGTGCTCTTTTCTCAGCCAAAGATTTTATTGTGCATTTAATGGAAAAAGATCCCAGTCAGCGTTACACGTGCGAACAGGCTCTTCAGCACCCATGGTATGAGTTCAGACGCCACACTGAGACTAATCGTCAGTGATACTGTAAATCTCACTTTCATACTTGGAGTTTTTGCAGTCTGTCATGCAGCAATTTAAACAATGACAGCACACATACAGATATTTATTGCCATAACTGTTATAGTTACCATATGTTGTGGCTTTACTGCTTAAAAAGGCAGTCAGACATTGTCATGAACCATCATATTTTAACCTTTCAAACATCTGTCAACGGGTCCAACAACACAATGAGTACCTTTCCCAGTTCCAGATGATCTAGAGCTTGCGTAATTCTTTCCAGCAACATTATTTATGTTGTGTCATTTCAAACCCGTATAACTTTGTTTTATGGAACGAAAAAAGAGATTGCTCTTCCCATACAGTGAAAGTAAATAAAGGGATGGATGTTGTAGAACTCGAAAAATGACAAAAAAAAAGCATCATAAAGAAGTACCACATGTGATTTGTACGAATGATGGAAAAAAAAATATATATATATACACTGATAAACTGCCGCAGCGCTCAAATCTCATCCACTGTCACATATATTCAAATACGCATTAAATTAAGTTGTGCTAGACCTGTCATCAGTGAAGTCAAATGCCATTGGTTTTCACATGTGTTGAAGCCAAATAATGTCATATGAAGTTTGAGTGTGCAGAAGTGACATTTGAGAGCTGTGTCTGAGGGGAAGATTTCTAGTAAATTAAATTTTGGTCAGTTCTTGATACATAATTACCATAAATGTTCATTTGACTTAAAATGTAGGGAGAAAGTCGTACTGCTTTGGAAGAACATGTGGGAATAGATGATGACAGAGCTTTGCGTTTGCATTTCATTGTGGCTTTAAAACAGACAAGATAAGATATTTTGCTTTTATACAACCAGGTACGGTTGACATCGGAGGAAACTTAAATGTCTGTTTTGTACTTCAGGATCGCTGGAGACACAGCGTTGGATAAGAATATCCATGAATCTGTCAGTGCCCAAATTAAGAAGAACTTTGCCAAAAGCAAGTGGAAGGTAAATCTGTGCATACATGAGAGGGAAAGAACCTCATCTGAGAATGTTAATGAAGTACTGCAGGTGAAAAGCATGGTTTCTGATTTTAATGGCCGTCTTTCTCTTACTATCATACACAGCAAGCATTTAATGCCACAGCAGTAGTTCGTCACATGCGCAGGCTGCAGTTGGGAACCAGTCAGGAGGGCCAAACGCAGTCCACCCTGCCCAGCCCCTGCCACGGACACTTGCTGCTGCCCGAGGGGGGCGAGGAAGAGAGCTGTCAGTATCTAAACATGTCACATTTATATTTACCACTGTTTTTGCATACCCATTCATCCAGACAGACACTACTGTTAACTGCCAGTCATAGTAAAGCATGTCATAAATCTTTCTGTATATTTACAGTATTAGACCAACTTTTAGTCAAGCCAGGTCATATTTCAGCCCATAATGTAAAAAAAAAAAAAGACATTTAATTTTGCATTAGGGGGAGGGGGTTCTTTTGTCATTTTTTAAACATTGTTTTTATTTAAGAATATTTTCTCAACAGTTTCATTATGGTAATGTTAAAAAAAATCTAATTACTTAAATTACTATAATGTGGAAAATCTCATTTTTAGAGTAATATAGTACTGAACAGAGTTCTTTTTTTTCCATTTAAATCAGCATAAGTTAAATACAGCACAACATACTACAATCACGTGTAAATATATTACAATTTAAATATTAAGAATAATTTTTGATGATTCGTGTGTGTGTGTGTGTGTGCGTGTGTGTACTTGTTTATGCTACATTGTTGGGACCAAATGTCCCCACAAGGATAGTAAAACCTGAAATTTTTGGCATACGAGGGAAAAAAATGATTCAAAATAGTAAATGATGTTTAATCTGAAAGTGTAACAATGCAAACTGGTTTTCTGTAAGGGGTAGGTTTAGGGTTAGGGGATAGAAAATATCATTTGGTCAGTATAAAAATCATAGAAGTCTATGGAAAGTCCTCACAGTTCACAGAAACAAGCGTGTGTGTGTGTGTGTGTGTGCTTAATTTTCACAAAAATCATATTGGTTCTAAAATCACTTCACTTTCTTTTTCCATTCGTCCATTCATTCTCCAAACTTCATATTCTCTGTAGGGTAACAGGGATGCTGGCACCTCATTTACTTTATGCATAGCATAATTTCTGATTTTTATTTTGACAGTGGAGTGAAATATTACATGTTCTTGAAATGTTGTTAGTTACTTAAGGAGGACTATTTCTCAATAGGTACTCAAGGAGGACTAATCTCTCTCTCTCTGTCTCTCTCTCTCTCTCTTAGCCCTGCAGAGGGAAAACAGTGGCTGTTCTGAGGGTGTCAGTGATGGAAATGACATCCAGAACTGCACCTACCATGTCCATCCTACTAGTCGGGTCTGAGTGTCAATCATCTTGCAGTAACCAATGACTGACTGTCCTATTTTTCCACTGGAGTCCTGCCACACCCCCAGTCTGGCCAGGAATACTGAGTAGTTCCAGCATCCTGCCACTTGGAGGCGCTGCAATGTAAAGAACCAAGGTGGGAATGGGGTCATTACTATTCCAATGGAGCGATTCTGTTTAATGAGAGTTCGAAAAGAGACATGAAGATTGCCACAGGCACTTCATGGGTAATATATACTATTGTGGGAGCTGGATAGAGATTGGACAGTGTTTTAATTCGTTTTTTAAAACAACACCGTCTACTTTCATTTTTCTTTTCCTGAACTAAACGTCCACAGGCCTGTTTCTCGTTTAATTCAAAATGCGACAGTGGCTGATGGTATGTGGCCTGATTTAATGCACATACATTTTAGATTTGTTGACATTTTATGAGATTATGAATTTTGGCGTTAGTTTATGCTAAGATTGCCCATTTTAAATGCACATCTTGAATGGTAAATATTCTTTCTTTTCAACTAAGGTACGAACAGATTTCACATCCATGAGATTCTACATATTAGTTGTGTTGCCACATCTCAGTTGCTTTGTACATCCAAAAGAAGTGCTGATTTCATGTAAATTACATTTTAGTTTGTTTTTTTAAATGTTTTTTTTTTTTTAGTTGTGTTGCCACATCTCAGTTGCTTTGTACATCCAAAAGAAGCGCTGATTTCATGTAAATTACATTTTAGTTTGTTTTTTTAAATGTTTTTTTTTTAAAAACATTTAACGTCTTTTTTACACTAAGTCTTCACAACAGATCATTCAGTCAGTATGTTTAAGAGCGTCTTTCTCGCTTCAAATGTTTTCTGTGGTGCCTTCATGGATTCAGTATCAATGTTTTACTCTTTTTTATTTTTTTATTTTTTTATTTGTTTAAATATGTTTTGATCTTTTCAGTTGGGAATGTTGGAAGCTGTACATGTTAAAACATTGCTGTTTATCATCAAATTCACATACATGGCATATAAGGCTATTCTAAGCTATGCACTGTCGGTGGACGCTTTGTAAATGTCTAATGTTTAATGCTGCCATCCTGTAAATATTGCAAAGCTATTGTTTTTTGTAAACCCCTTTCTATTACAACATTAAAAATACTCAGGGGAGGAATTGAAATCAGAGAATTGTGATATACTGAATGGTCATTTTACAAGAAAAAAACTATAGGATACTGAATAAACGTCACTACGAGGGTCCATATTATATAAATATATTTGACAATTTGGATTCTTTTCAATATTGGAACCTGTATGAAAGTAACCTCCATTAAACTACATGAATGTGTGACTTGACTCCGATTTTATTGTTTTGTTTATTTCCATTCAATGCTGTCAAGAAGTTAAAGAAAAAAACATTAGATGGAAAAACTGTTACGAAAAAAAGTCACATAATAGAAATCTCCAGATGTTTGCGGAAAAAGTTTTCCACAAGTTGGTTGGAAGATCGTGGTTTTCCATAATCCATTGCAAGACATCTGTGTTTTTTTGTTTTGTTTTGATTTGTTTTGTTTTTAGTGAATATGATTATGCTGAAAAAAAAAATGTTTATGCCGTTAATTACTTTAAATGAACTTCATATGTAGTGCTACATTCTCAAACAATACCAAAAGCTTTGGATTAATTGATATTGTAAAAGTACATACAAATATAATTTAAGTCTCAGACCTGCTTAATTTGTGACAGCTGTTTCATAGTCCCTTTGTCCGTAATGTTTCTAATCTTGAAGGTTCTCATCACGACATATGTAGAACCATTAGTTAACTCTTTATTCTGGTGCTGACTGGCTCTCAACGGTCTGCTTTAAGAGATCTGTTTACCAATACATAAGAAAATGTGAGGTTGGGGAAAAAACACTTAAAAAAAAAAAAGAAACTAAAACTTATGAATTTCAATGAACAATTATTTGATTTAAACAATTTGTGGTTTATGTTTGATTTTGTTCTATATCTGTATCTGCTTTCTGAATTTATTTTATATGTGTGGTGGAGACAGATGAAATTAAAGTTTAAAAAGTATAAAACATTTATAGTAAAAGGCAATGTGTCATGTGATTTTGCCTGCAGTGTTGCTTGCGCAGACTTCCTGTATCGATCAAGATGCTAATATGAGATGGTGGGTCAAAGAATAAATTCTGTGGTAGCCCTTTACATGCTCTGGTGTTTTCAAAAATATATGTATGATTGCACAGTGATGCACAAGTGGCATTGTGTACTTGAATGTGTTTAAATGTGATGTTGCCTACTGATCATGGTTGCAACAGTGAAAACGAGGATTTGCTATCCACATACATACATACATATATATCATGATTATCATAAACCAACTATGTTCAGAGTGGAATACTAGTGTGATGTGTACTTTATACTGCACATTATGCACATTATACTGCCTGTCATTAAAAAATGTGATTGGTATGTTATTTTGCATTTCTAATTAATTTTTTGTAAAAAATGAGTTTTCATAAATCATATTAAAAAATTAGGCACAATTAAATATAATTTTAAAAAGTGTCACGAAATATGGCTGCCAAGCACATTGCATCATGGGATATAGTAGGCAGTGTGCTCTGCTGTATACCGCACAATTTTTGCAGGGCTTAACCCGAGTATTCTATACATATTGCACTTAGTATACATACTGTGCAAATAGTAAGAACAGTATGATACTTTGCCATTCCGAACATTTGGATTATCCCTACTCTTTATGACACGAATAAAGAGTTGATAGCTACCTCTCTGGCTTCTGAATGCTTTCTGCAGAAGTCGTGGTTTGCATTCGTTTATTTATTTTGGACAGAGCATGTTTTTGACAGTATCTTGGAAAAGAACGCAGTGTGAAAATGTGCCAACTTGAAACAACTCAGGATTGCAACAATATTGGATTTACATTCTGTATATTAAAAAATGCCCCATTTTTCCAAGTCCTAAAATACATTTGCTAACCCAAACATTAGTATCACTGGCCTTAGTAATAGTGAATATGCAAAATAAATTTTAAGGGCTTGACTCCTTCAAATGAATGTCTTGCCAATTGTAGTCTGTTAGTCTTAAGATTGAAGTTAGATTTATTCATTTCTCTTTCTTAGCGTTTCTAAACACATTTAAGAGACAAATTTAAAATCAAAAAGAGATTTGCTTCAAATTTCACTTTATAATAAATGTGTTTACATTGTATTTCAGGGTTCTCTTTGATTTGATTTAAACAAAATACTAATGACAGTATGTTGTAAAAGATATGTATAACCATAGGCATATACATACTGTTTAGCCTTTTTGTAAGACGTGTACGCTGTTTTGATCCATTACTTGTATGGATGCAGTGCATCATAGGTATTTACTGTATTTTTTCATTATGGAGTGCTTGATATTGACGCTAATGATTTGCATTTTTAAAACATTTGTAACTGTAAAGTGGATTAAACTTTCCTTGTCTATGCACTGTTTCTGTGTGCTATCTAGTGTGTTGAAAGAGTGAGAATGAGAGAGAGAGAGTGAGAGATGAGTGGACGGATGTGGTAGAAGTGAATAATAGCAGGTTATGGTAATAGGCCTACTCAAGCATGTTTTTTGAGAGAGATTTTTGGGGGGGTTTAGTATTCCCTGCACCACAGTGGAAATTCTTTTTGGAAGTTCTTGGCCTGTGCAGAGTGTAAGACTGATTTTTCAACTGATCACACACATTTTCAAAACTTTGCCTCTCTTTTTCAAAACTTTACACACAAATCCAAGAATTGCACATGCAAAATGCCTCACATCTCTTGCTAAATGGAGCACTGCATTCAAAATATCACAAACACATCTCAAAAGCAGACATTTGTCTTACGTTGCAAACACCTTTGCCATAATAATAATATCTTTGGATATATCATATACACACAGTTATTCAAAACCTAAAGCTCTTATTTCATATTTTCAAACCTAAAGTTTTCTCATGAAAGAAAACACGAAAGCAAGATTGAAAACAAACTATTTATTTATTTATTTATTACTGTAAGCATGTGGTTGTAAATACAGTATTACACAGTACAAACGAAAATAAATACATTGTTTGCATCCACTGTTCAAAACCTACAGTTTCTCTCAGTCGCTTTGGTGCATTTCTCAGATCAGAAATGAAATTCTCAAAACTACTTGTTCAACCTCCACATCATGTAGTCACTTGTGCACATCATAAAAGCAGTTTCTCATTCTTTTGAACAAGTTGCGATTGCTTTGGTACATTCACGCAATTGATTATGTACATTTGTCTGCGGTTTCCTACATTATCAGTTGCTAATGTCATGTTGCTCAAAATTTATTATATAGCTTTCTGTGCAATAATCTTATCCCTCAAAACATCTAGGCATTAGTTCATCGTATAAGTCATTACATGCAAAATGGTTGATAGTTGTCATAAACTGTCAAGCATATTTTCTACACATTTCTATTAGTCTTTTTGTAAATGTGCCATGAATTGTGCTGGTGAATCTTGACTTTCACTAATGAAGAGAATGTAGATCAACCAATGATAAACTAGTTCTCTGAAATTCCTCATACAGTGCTGGATGCAAAAGCAAAGTTCTGGCTAAGGGGTGTTTCCTGTGTTTGCTTTTCAAATTTAGTATTTTTGCCTTTGTGCCTATATTTCTTTTTCTATATCACAACGACATTGTAATGTGTTTGTGTTGTTGTTGTTGTCAGACCACTAGTAAAAGTGTAACAGTGAATCCTATCCTGTCTCTTTCAATGAATATTCCACATACAGTAATGTGTAAATTTGTACTTATGAAATGGATATATGGCATACATAAGAATTGCAGCCTCATGCATTTCAATAGAGTAACCAATAGTCTTACCCCTCAAAACATCTAGTCATTAGTCCATCGTATAAGTCATTACATGCAAAATGGTTGATAGTTGTCATAAACTGTCAAGCATATTTTCTACACATTTCTATTAGTCTTTTTGTAAATGTGCCATGAATTGTGCTGGTGAATCTTGACTTTCACTAATGAAGAGAATGTAGATCAACCAATGATAAACTAGTTCTCTGAAATTCCTCATACAGTGCTGGATGCAAAAGCAAAGTTCTGGCTAAGGGGTGTTTCCTGTGTTTGCTTTTCAAATTTAGTATTTTTGCCTTTGTGCCTATATTTCTTTTTCTATATCACAACGACATTGTAATGTGTTTGTGTTGTTGTTGTTGTCAGACCACTAGTAAAAGTGTAACAGTGAATCCTATCCTGTCTCTTTCAATGAATATTCCACATACAGTAATGTGTAAATTTGTACTTATGAAATGGATATATGGCATACATAAGAATTGCAGCCTCATGCATTTCAATAGAGTAACTGTCATCCAAACGGTTGCCATAGTTTACATCAGGTAATACTAACAGAGTGCACTGTTATACATGACTAATTTTGACTATCTTGTTTGTGAACAATGACACAAGGACTTTTCATTCTGATGGAACTGATATCTTCATTGACATTACTTTTGAGAGATGAACTAAATATTTTGAGTAACAGACTTTTGCAGGTAATCCATTGTGTGGTGCTGTTTGCACAAATTGTTTT